AGCTCCGTGTCCTTGTGTGACACCCAGCCCTGTCACTGTCCCCACGGTGTCACATCCGTGTCCTTGTGTCACACCCAGGTCACTTCCAGGTGACATCGGTGTCCCCGAGCCAGCTCCGTGTGACACCCAGGTGACATCGGTGTCACTGTGCCAGCTCCGTGTGACACCCAGGTGACATCCGTGTCACTGTCCCAGCTCTGTGTCCCTGTGTCACACGCAGGTGACAGCCGTGTCACTGTCCCAGCTGTGTCACACCCGTGTCACACCCAAGTGACGTCGCTGTCCCCGTGTCACACCCAGGTGACAGCCGTGTCACTGTGTCACACCCGGGTGACATCGGTGTCACTGTCCCAGCTCCGTTTCCCTGTGTCACTTCCAGGTGACAGCCGTGTCCCTGTGTCACACCCGGGTGACATCGGTGTCACTGTGTCACACCCGGGTGACGTCACTGTCCCCGTGTCACAGCCAGGTGACATCGGTGTCACCGTGTCACACCCGGGTGACGTCACTGTCCCCGTGTCCCCCCTCCCGGAGCCACCAAAGCCCCGTGGCCCCCTGTGGGGGGAGGGGCCCTGTCCGTGACGTCATCACCCTGTGACGTCACTCCCGACCCATGATGTAACCGCACTCGTTGTCCCCACTGGGGGGATCCCCCAACCCGTGACGTCACTCCCTGTGACGTCACCGCCCTGTGACGTCACACCCCCCCCGGTCCCCTGCCCCCATTTTGGGGGGTCCTTGACCCAACTGGGGTGGGGGGTTTGCCCCATCGGGGGGGGGGTCCCCGCTCGTGACGTCACTCCCCGTGACGTCATCACCCGCGACGTCACCCCCCCATCCACCGTGTCCCCGCAAGGAAGGAGGGGCTTCCCCCGCTCGTGACGTCACCCCCCATGACGTCACCCCCAACCCCCTTCCCGTGGGTAGGGAAGAAAAGGGAGGGGCTTCCCCCAGGCATGACGTCATCCCCAACCGCTGCGACCGCCACTCGTGACGTCATCCCCCATGACGTCATCCCCCAACCCCTCTCTCTCCACGGTCAAAGGAGGGAAAGAGGCTCTTTTTCCCCCCCCCATGACGTCACTCCCTATGACGTCACCCCCACCACTAGAGTGACGGGGGGGGGGGAAAGAGGTGGTGGGGATGGTCTTCCCCAGTCATGACGTCACCCTCACAACCCCCGCAGTTGGAGGAGGGCGCCCCCCTCCATGACGTCACTCCCTATGACGTCATCCCCACCACTCGCGTCCGCACGGCTGATGGGGCGGGGGGGTCTTCCCCAGTCATTACATCACTCCCCATGACGTCACTCGGTTACATCATCCCCCAACCCCTCTGTCTCCACGGTCAGAGGAGGGAAAGAGGCTCTTTTCCCCCCCCATGACGTCACTCCCTATGACGTCACCCCCACCACTAGAGTGACGGGGAGGGGGGGAAAGAAGCGGGGGGG